CGGGGGCGGCGGGGGGCAGGTTGAGGGTCAACACACCCAGCTTACCTCCAGCAGGGAGCCGGAATCATAAAGTATTTAGGGCTGGAGAGCAACGAACCACGCCTCGCGGCGCCACGTCTGTTTGCTGCTAACACGCGCCCGGCCAGCGGCCTCACCTGGTCGGCGTCCAGCCGCTCGTCGGCCTGCTGCAGGGGCTGCTCGCTGGGGAACTTGACGGTGCCCGGCGGCAGCGCCGGCCCCGGCCCCAGGTTGGCGGGGCGCACGGGCAGCGACACGGGCGCGGCGCTCGCCTCCTCCACCTGGCGGGGCGGCGGCCGCACCATGATGTGCCCCGGGAGCGGCGCCACGTCCAGGGAGGCGGGCCCCGCGGCGGAGGCCACCTGCGGCGTCCGGGAAGACGGGGGGGTTAGTTCAGTTCGTGAAGGTCTCGCGTTGCTGGACGACGACTCCCCGAGCCGAGCCCCCGTGCACACTCATACCTTATTGGCGGGTGCAGTCGCGTTCTCGGTTGGCAACGCGGAAACCGCGGCGACCGCAACGGCCACTAAAGCCACGGCGAAAACTGCTGACCTCGACATGACTGCGCCTCCTGCGCAAAAAAAGGAGGAAAAAAGAAATGCTAATAATAGAATCAATCAACATTTCCAATATTCTTTGCTTCTGGCTGCTGCAGAGTAAATATAGTTTCTCTCGATGTTATCAGCAGAGAAGAGAAGTTAGGTAGTAACGGCCAAAGTAGAGTGTGGGCGGATCAATCTTGAATTCCTGAATATTTCTGACGTCGACGATTATTTCTGGCTCCCTCTGGCCGACCTCGCCCTCGCCGCCAATGCGTCTCTCGTGCCGCCCTTTTGCTGGTCCCTCCGGCCGCCCACAAGGGCCCGTGGTCCGACCTGCGAACCACCACCCTTGGCCCCCCGGCAGGCAAAGGCTCTCGAGGCACAGCCTTCCTGGCGCTGGCCTTGAAAGATGATTTCCTTCCATTTCCGGTCAATATTGCGGCTGTGTGTAACGGTCCGGATTGCCGGTGCTGGTCACGCTGGGGCCGCCACCTGCCGCCACTCACCGCCACTCACCGCCGCTGCTGCGTGGAGTGTACCAGGAAGCCGCGAGCCGTCCCCTACGTGACGGCCGGCAGGACCGCGCGGGCTCGAGTGGCGCGGGTGTCGTGGCCGGCAGATAAGCAGGAATGTGCGTTTTGTTTTCTTTTCTATTAGGCGCGGTGTGGCTACCACCCATAGTGCGCCTACGACCAATTTTGTGCGGATTTATTAGTCCGCGACCGGATGACGAGGGCTGCTTGACGAGGGGGAGGAGCGGCGGGCCAAGGCCGCTTGACGAGCGCCTGCCGTGGCCGCCGCCAGCCCCGCGGTCGCAGCGCCGCCCTCTGCCAAATCGCACCTCTAGCAAATGGCCAACCATCCTGCCACCTCCAACCTCCACCTCCGCTGGGCAGGCAGGGCAGGGCCGCGGGCGCATTACCTCGGGCTTGTTGTTGGTCACGGGGGTCACGACGGCCCCTCTCTCGTCGCTCCGCCCTCCTGCGCGGCTCGCGGGGAGTCCCGTGCTGCTGCTGTTGTTGCTGCTGCTGCTGGGGCTAGGATACGCGCCGGTGCGGACCACCGAATGCGGACTGGCGCGGGGCCGCGGGGCGGGCGCCATCCCGTACCTGCATCGTCCTTATCGCCCGCACTGCTGCACCCCCACCTCGTTCAAGTCGAGTGGCGGCGACAGTATCTCCTGACGGCCCGCGGGTCTGTTTGGAGACGTGATGGGGCATATCACGGTATCGCGCCAGACACTTATTGGGCGGGTCCTGTCCATCCGAAGCGCGCGGCGCGGCGGCGGCGCGCGTCACTGCGTCACTCTGGGCGCGTGCTGGACGGGCGTGCGTGCGGAGATAAGGGAACCCTCGCGGGCTGAGTTTTAAGGTGAATCCCGTCGGTGCGCCGCCGTCCTCGCCCTGCCCCGCCCCGCCCCACC